TTATATTTAACTTGGCAGTAGAATTATCACCATTAATCAATGACAAAATTACAATTTTTGTTGCTGAATTACGACTGAAGCAAATATTGAAACGAAAAATACATATGCGGATTCTCCGTCGATCCAGTCACATTTCTTCGAAGTCATTCAAAAGCTGAGAGGAATTGGATTGTTTTTCTCATGAGCTTTGATTTTTTACATCAAAGATTGAGGTAAAAGGTTGACATTGATGAAGAAGTCAGATATCAACGGTGATGATTCGTTTTACCGAAGCTCATACACATCTAAATTTGAATCATCATAATCTCATTTTTTTAAATAAAGCAGAACGTCCCCCATTGGTCAAAAATAAATTAGTGTGCGTAAGACCACTTTTTACGCACACCTCCTTGCATACGGGCGGCGTAAATATGGGACGATAATAGTGCTCAAAGCGTTTTTTTTTCTCGTAGGTAAAATTGTACACGTTTAAAAATCCTTCATTTCACACGACGATGGGAGTATTATCTGACGAATCTGCTTATAATTGGATTATAAAGCCACACTCGCCAGATAGTAATTTTATCGTCTGGTAACATAATTTACTATTTTCGAAATTCCTCGACATCCACTCATCTCTATCACGGGTGAATAAAAATAATAAAAAAATTCAATGAGGAGCAATTAAATATTAAAGTACAGATGATTTTCACCTTTTTTTTGATACTTCAACGAATATCGAAATGATCAGAGTAATGAAGAATCTGTCATCTATGGAAGATATCACGGACGAGTATCCTTCAATAATTAATTTATCAGTACTGGGTGGAGGAAAAATGCATGTACTTATCATTCATGAGGAACTAGCTGGATGGCTCTCGGCATTGCTCAAGGAAGAAGAATATTTAAATCCAGGAGTTTTATTCTTAAGACGCCGCAATTTTCGCGAGTTATCAAGAGATTATTCAGCTAAAATTTCAAGAGAATCCGTTGTTGGCTTGCCAATGTTCGTATTTGTGGATGTATGTAACAATTTTTTCAAACTTTGTCTTTAATTTCCCCCTAATGAATCGGTGGAATTGAATCTTTCTTTTCTTTTCAATGTAGGCTTTGTTAAGCCCTATCCATCGCCGTTATCCAAAATCAAATATATTTTTTCATTTTTAAAAGTGTTGAATTTTTTGAAAAATCATCTGTAACACGATAACTAGAAAAAAAAATGTTTCAAATTCATTGAATGATGGCTCAAAACAATTGTTTGTGTGTCCTTATGGCTGAGTTCGAAAATGAAGGTGATAATCATAATCGTCCTTTTTATATATTTGAAAGTTTAAAAAAAAATTGGTATTTTTTGAAAATCAGAACTCCGGGGCTATCTTCGAATATTATGCTTGTTTCAATCTTATTAGCTCGGAGCTCATAGCCCTGAAGATGCAGACTGCAATGTTTGCGAAACGTCGGCGCAATGCTGAAACTCAACGCGGCATCCATCCGGAAGCCAACCAAGTCATCCATAGGAATTTATATAAATAAAATCTACTGTTTTCAGGAGGACAAAAAACGATTATTGCTATTGCTATTGCCATCCTCGTTGCGCCGAACCAGAACATCCAGAAAAGGAAGACATCTGTCCTGCTCAATTTCCATGGTGAACTTGATGCTCGTGTGCTGATTGTTCAAGAACTCCAGGAATTGGGTTAGACCAGTCTTTCCAGATGGCACTCTGGGCCACCAAGTATATCGCAAGCCAACACACACAGGCAGGTATCTCAATGCTACCTCCCATCACCACCCCTCCCAGAAACACTCCGTTATCAGCTCTCTCATGTATAGAGCACTTACAATTTCTCAACCCTCAAACGTTGACAGTGAAGTTGAACATCTTGAGACAGCTCTGACCACGAATGGGTATAACATCCAACAAATTCGAAAGGTCAAGCAAAAGCTACAGAGCAAGCTCTCATCTCTCCAAGAGGAGACTGTTCCTGAGGAAAACCAGGAAAGACCTAAAATGGCCCTCCTCCCCTATCTGAGAGGCACAACAGAACGCATCAGCAGAGTACTCGGTAAACATAACATCCGAACGATCTTCCAACCCCCAAAGAAGATCGGACAGATGCTGCCGAGCGCGAAGGATCCAAGACCAGCCTTGAGTACACCAGGAGTGTACGAGATCCCTTGCTCATGCGGGAAAGTGTACATTGGAGAAACCGGGAGGAAGATCAGTACACGGATCAAAGAACACCAGCGGTGCTCCAAATACGGTCACTTAGAACAGTCTGCCCTGGCTGAACACTGGATGGATACTGGACATACTATCCACTACGACCAAGCCAAAATGCTGGCCAAGTCTCAAGGGTATTTCGAAAGGAAATACCGAGAGGGTTTGGAGATCCATAAAAACCCTAACAACCTCAACAGGGACAGAGGATATCAAGTGAACCCCATTTGGAAAACCGTCCTCCCGGTTTTTTAATTGACCAGCTGATCAATTAAAAACATATGATTGGCTGACTTCCCCCCCCCTTCCCCTTCTCCCACCACCACAAGGGAAGGTATATAAGGACTGCCCCCACACATCGGAGCTCAGAATCGGAGCTCATAGCCCTGAAGATGCAGACTGCAATGTTTGCGAAACGTCGGCGCAATGCTGAAACTCAACGCGGCATCCATCCGGAAGCCAACCAAGTCATTAATAATGGCCGCGAAAGCCTCAAAACTAAAATTCCGATGGATGTTCGATCCAATTAATCTGCATCACTGGAAGGTGCCCTCCCTATAGGATAATAGAAAATTAATAGAAGACTGTTCCATGTCTCCTATGACCTATCTCAAGAGAATCTCCCCTAAAGAGATATGTCTTGTGAGAAAAAAAATGTCTCTCTCTAGACGATATGGTGGATATTCCCTATAAAAACTTGATATTTTCATGCAGACAGGCAGCCAGTTGCATTGTCACTTCTTATATATAAATAAATGGACTAATTTTCCAGTAGAGAACGGCGATTCTGGAGATTCGGAATTGATCAATAATCATCATTACATTTGAACCGTGAACTTTTTTTTTCGTGAAACGCAATTGAAGAAAAGTCATCAGGTCTAATATACAAGATTATATTGAGACAACAAACATACCCTGTCCTCAGGTATGTCGGGGATTGCAGTTTCAGCTATTGACTTGACCGCGCACGACATACTTTCAATAACTTCAGACCTGATGAATACATTATCCGTCTCTGCAAAAGGAAAAGAAATCCTCACTCCCGCGAACTCTCATGACCATCAACTGATATTTCGTGAATCACGGAAATAAACATACCTGAACCCAAAACTTTTTGAATATTATTTACTCCTGATGTAATGAATCCCAACTTCTCAATCACAGCCTGTTGCAGTTCATCTTTCTCCGATTGTAGTTTTTTGTTTTGGAGATTAAGACTGACATTTTGACGTTTCAATTCGTCATTTTCCATCCTCAATAATTTATTCTCGCGACCAATCAATTCCCTCTCTTTATCACATGATTTTTCACATGAACAACTCGATATAATTTTTTTTTCTTCTCGTATAACCTTTCGGGTCTTTACGATTTGTTCCCTTCCCACCCCCCTCAACCCCCTGTACCGCATTTTCCGAAGGGAGGGAAAACCTCATTCGAGGGAAAAACCTGCCCTGGTACAGTCGTCCTTTTTGACGGGACTACCGCTCGGCAGTGAAACTGTGAGATTAGAGCGCTATAAATTTTGACCGCCGATTCCGGGAAGCGAACCCGGATCATTGGCGTACAAGTTGTCACGTCTTCACTGTAATTTTTACTAAAATTTAGAAGAAACTAAGACAACCAAGCTACCGTATTTTCACTTGGTGCGTTATGAATTTATAAATGGGGGTTTAAATGTTTGTAATGTTGATAAATGAATATAATGCGTTGAGTCACTTAAACAATCACTATAATTTCACTAAAATTGACTTTATACACCTTAAATAACACTAGTCTTAAAAGTACTTGGAACTTATTCTGAGAATTACTTGAATTGAACTCAATTGAACACAAGACTTGGCTAGGTCGATTAAAAGGTTTGATTTGAAGCGCGAAATGAATCGGTGAATTGTCACGAGTAGACTGACGTGTTTGGGTTTCTGAATGAGTGACTTGCCCTCAGAACAGTGAGGGTGGGAGAAAATTTCTAAAATTTCATTGGTTAAAATAAGTGTGGGAAAATCCTGGAGTTTAAGGAAAGGGATAGCGAAAAGTATACATAAAAAAAAAGGGAAAGCGCATCTAGGAAGGATGCGCTCTCGGTACGCCTTGAGTGTCGGGCACGTGTTGACCACTGGTGCCGTCCGGTGACCAGAGAGCGGGTAAAATAGAGTAATAAAGTTTGAGGATTTTAGAATTGAGTATTTCAACTCTATGTAAAAGAAAAAGTTATTGTCTAAAATTTTCCCCAGTACGTGATTTTCGTGAAACCCGTCAGAGTTGAATTTCTCACGACGGTCACAATATAATTTACTACTAAAATTATGCCTAGCCAAAGGCTGTTTCTTAGTTTTTGAAAGTTGAAAGTGAATGATTTTAAAAGATTTAAAAAATTGTTTGAAATTCTATTTTTCTTGTTTTCAAAATATAGCAAAAAATAAATAATAAATATGTTGGTACGCAACATCCTGGGGGGGTTGAGAGACTATGCGATCAAGAAACAGTCACTTCTAAATGAATAGATTGAAATGAACTAACTTACAATATTACAACTCTCCCCCAGATGGATCTGAATACTAAGCAAAAACTGAATTTTAAAAGTAATTGTTTTTCACTAATTGTCCATATTTTCTGCTGTGACTGGCAATGGGGCCAGCTTCTTCACGCTGCGTTTCATGATACCGCTTTCAGTTTTCACTGAAGCGACTCTGATGACTGCATCTGCTCCTGGATGGACTGCGATGACTCTTCCCAGCTTCCAATACATAGACTTGAGGTTGTCATCTTTGAGGAGGACCAAGGAACCTTCCTTGATCTGGTGTTATCCTGCGCTCCATTTGCGCCTGACCATGAGCTCGTGGAGGTACTCTTTATACAACCTCTTCCAGAAGTCTTGACGTGCCTTCTGTATGTGCTCCCAGTTGGAGAGTCGATTGATTGGCACGTCTAAGAAGTCATGCTCTGGAATGGCAGTGAGCGGTTCCCCAATGAGCAGGTGACCTGGTGTTAGCACCAACAGGTCGTCGGGGTCTGGGAACACAGGTGTAAGAGGACGAGAATTGAGAATCGCCTCAATTTCTGTCACCAATGTGTCCAGTTCCTCAAAGGTGAACAGTTTGTTCCCGGCCACTCTTATGAGATGATGTTTGAATGAGCGAACAGCAGCCTCCCAGATGCCACCAAAGTGCGAGGATGCTGGGGGGATGAAGCCCCATTTGATGCCCTTCTCGTTCAGATATGTAGACACCTCGGAGTTGTGATCCTCTGACTTGAGTGTGTCCAGTAGCTGCTTAAGCTCATTCCTTGCACCAACAAAGTTGGTGCCATTGTCTGACTGGATCAGCTGGCACCTGCCTCTTCTGGCAATGAAGCGACGAAGAGCTGCGAGGAATCCTGAAGTGGTCATGTCGCTGACCAACTCCAAAAGCACTGCCTTTGAAACTAGGCAGATGAAGACTGCCACATATGCCTTGACTTGACCTCTATTGCGATGTTTCTTCTCTTTTATCGTGAATGGCCCACAGTAGTCCACCCCGACGTTGAGAAACGGTCTGGCCTTGGTGATACGTGTCTGTGGCAGATCTCCCATAATGTAGTCCACTGCAGGTGGACTTGCCTTAGTACACGGTACACAATTCTGAATGATTCGACGGACTTCGTTCCGTCCATCCAGCAACCAGTATTGACATCTGATTGCGTATAACGTGGCTTATGCACCAGCATGTGCCTGCTCTCTGTGCATGTCCCTGATGATGAGTTCACTGACAAACTCCTTCTTTGGTAAAACGACCGGATGCTTCTGGCTGTAGGGGATGTCTGCTGCCTGAAGTCTTCCTCCAACTCGAATGATGCCATGAGAGTCCAGAAATGGATTGAGCTTTGATAATTTGCTCTTACGATCCACTTCTTTCTTCTCGCTGAGCTGGCGTAATTCACTGGGAAACGCGTTCCTCTGCACGAGCCTCATGATTACTTGCTCTGCTTTGATGAGCTCTTCCAATTGAATTGGACCTTTGAATTTTCTATTGCTTATCTTGAATCTGAGCAGGTAAGCAATAACCCTCTTTAGCTTGTGGATTGAATGATACCTCTCCAGCAGGGTGAAGTCATTGATGGTAGCACTCATGCAGGTCACTCGCTTGGCCTCTGGATCTTCAATTGGCTCAGTGAGCTTGGATGTGGGCCACTTGACTTCTGGCCCTGACAGCCATTGGGGACCAACCTTCCAAAGCTCATTGGTGATAAAATCTGCTGGCATCTGGTCTCTTGAGAGGGCATCAGCTGGATTAGATTCCCCTGGAACGTGTCTCCACTCGCCTCCTTCAGTGCTGGATTGAATCTCTGCCACTCGATTAGCCACGAATGTTTTAAATAAATTTGAAGATTTGCTAATCCAGTGCAGAGTAATCATTGAAGCACTCCAGAAAATGATTTTCTCGATGGGGATGTTGATGGTATCCTTGATGCTTTGGTACAGCCTGGATAAAAGCAAGGCTCCGCATAACTCCAGGCGAGCTACCGAGACGTACTTGACTGGTGCAACTTTTGATTTGGCACAAAATAATCTGCACTGTACGTTTCCCTGGATATCGATCGAGCACACATAAATACAGGCACCATATCCAGTGGTGCTGGCATCACGGAATCCATGGATCTGCAGTTGTTTGCCATTCTCCTGACAGATCTTGCGTGGGAAATGTACGTCATTTAGCAAAGGTAGCTGGGAACAGAGATTCGTCCATTCCGTGTGAATGTGCTCAGGAACAGACTCATCCCAGTTAACCTTGGCATTCCAGAGTTTCTGGATGATCATTTTTGCAGATAGCACAACTGGACCCAGCAGACCCAATGGGTCGTAGATTTTTGCGATTTCCGACATGACAATTCTTTTTGTCACTCGCTCCACGACAGGTACTGGCTGGACTGTGTATGAGATGGAATCTGACTGTGAGTCCCAATACACTCCCAGTGTCTTCAGCGTCGATCCATCGTTTAACTGTAGCTTTTGATGAATGGAGTCGGGGGGTAAGCCTCGTAGCAACCTGGGATCATTGGAAGCCCAGTGCTTGATATTGAGTCCACCCCGAGCCAATAATTGAGTGATTTCTTCACGAGCCTGCTTAGCCTCACGGATCGAATTGAAACCGCATAGCAGATCGTCCACGTACATGTTTTGTTTCAATATACGTGCGGCCACTGGAAAGTGATGGGCTTCATCCTCTGCTAATTGCTGGAGACATTGGACTGCCTGATAAGGTGAAAAGGACAATCCAAATGTCACGTTGTTCAGCTCATAAATAGCCACTTTGCCATGGCTGTTCCTCCACATAATACGCTGATAGCGACGATCTTCCTTGCGTACTCCGAACTGCAAGAACATTTTTTCAATGTCACCTGTTAATGTGTACAGGTGCGTGCGGAAGTGGAGAACCTGCCAGAAGATGTCTTGCTGCAGCTTAGGGCCAACCAACAGTGTTTCATTCAATGAAATGTCTGTGGTGGTTTTAGCAGAGCCATCGTAGACTACTCTCACCTTGGTTTTCACACTGTCCTTTTTTATGACGGCATGATGGAGCAAGTAAAATCCTGTATTGCTTGGATCACGTACCTCCGATAAATAAGTGAGCTCCATGTACTCGTCAATAGTATCAGAGTATGCCTTGCAGAGCTCTGGATCCCTGACAAATTTGCGTTCCAAGCTCTGGAAACGTCTGAATGCCATGTTGTAGGAATTGCCTAGGAGATCCTTTTTTGCATTGAATGGAAGAGCCACTGTGTATTTCCCTGTAGAATCACGACTGTAATGTCTCTTGAAATGATCCAGGCTTGCTGCTCTTCCAGTGAAAGTGGTTTCGGCCTCGAAACTTCCTCAACCTCCCAGAATTTCTCCAGGTTGAAATCTGGCGTTGCCTGATGACACTGAACTGCTTTGGCGTTTTGAGACGTGTGAATTGCTCCACCAATTACCCAGCCAATCTGGGTTTTATGGAGATAAAGGTCCGGTCCACCTGGCGGGGACAAATCAATTTGTCCAGTACAGAGCAATGATAGTGTTGGTCCTGTTCCTATCAGCATGTCAATTGGGGCTGGCTTATGAAAGTCTGGATCCGCCAATCGAATATTTGCAGGAATCTTCACTGATTCTCGTGGAATGAATGATGGTGGAATCAGATCAGAAATCCTGGGAATGGTCAAGAAACTTAACTCCTTCTGGAAACCGCTATGCCTTGATTTAATTGTGGCAGTTACCACGTCCTTCGTGTATGTTGCAATTTCGCTGAGAGTTCCAACTGGTAGGACACACGGTTTTCGCGACAGCTTCAATTTCGTCGCGAGACTCTCGGTAATAAAGTTCGCCGATGCACCAGTGTCTAGGAGAACTCGACATTGTTCAACTGCACTGGACTTGTTGAGTACATTGACTACTGCTGTGGTCATGACTTGACTGGAGGGAAGACGAGCGGTCATGGCGCTGACAGGCTGTCCCGTGGATGATGATGAGTGCAGAAGAGTGTTATGTGGCTCTTTACACTGTCTGCAATGGGTGTATCTGCACTCTGATTCATGCTTATTCAAGCAGTTGAGGCAGAGTCCCAATTGCTTTGCGATCTTGATGCGTTGATCCACTGGCTTCTCTTTAAATTTATTGCATCGAAAGAGTGGGTGAGATGAATCGTTACATACCTCACCATTTTTACCAGTGACTGCATTGAAAGAATGAAAGTGTTTATTCTTCTTTCTGTGTGATTTACTGCTGGTCTCCACCGCTGGAATAGATTTTTCTTTATTTCGCGACTGGAGCCTTGAAGCACGTCTGTTGAGTAATTCCAACATGTCCTCCAGTTTCGGGAGCACACCACGTTCCTGTTTATTGTCCCAGGCATCCGCAGTGGTCTTGGTGATTTTCAGCTCCAACAGGGCCACGATCAGCTGATCGCCGACATCTACCCCAAGACTGATGAGTGACTCCACGTGCTGACGTGTATTATCAACTAATTGTGTTAAACCTTCTGCATCCTCTTTTTCTTGTTGAGGCATTTTTAATAATTGATGAAGGTGTTTGGACACAATTATACGTTCATCGAGATATGCTTTGTCCAGGATTTCCCATGCTCGATCGTAATTTCCTGGCGTGATTGAGAGCATCTGAATCTTCCTCGCAGCATCTCCTTTCAATCCACCTTTGAGATAACCCAATTTATGTGTTTCTGGCACATCAGGGCGACTATTAATAATACTATTAAAGTCTGTTTTGAAAGAGATGTATTATGTGACATCCCCATAAAATATAGGCACTTTCAGATCAGGCAGTTTTCCTAATTTCAAGATGTCTGAGGAGACTGTCGAGTTGTTGTTGCTCCTAGCGGGTGATTCAGTAATCCTCTCGTTTTGATGTGGAGGATTATTTTTCTCCTTGATGAGTTCTGCTTGACTTAGGGTTTCCAGGTAATCGCCTTCCACGACGTATCGCTCTTGTAACGAGTGATGGAGTCCCTCAGGATCGAGTGAATCAAGTTCATCCATGAGTTCGTCAAAATCACGGAAATTGGCCTCATACTTTGCCATGCGTGCTTCCACGGCCGGAACATCTACAACCCTTTTGGCTTCGAATAGCTTGAGATTTTTTCTTGCGACGGTAGTTACGCTCTTCCAAGTTGATATTTTCCTGTTGAGCTCGGCAATCCGCGCTGAATTATCCTCAGTTATCGTGTCGTCGGGATTCGTCATTTTGTATTTAGAGAATGAAACTGTTTTCACCACACAAAACACACTGAATGTTCGTATTGTTTATGAATGAATGAATATTTATGGATTGGATTCAAACCGATCCGGCTCGAAGGACAATTTTTTAATGTCACGTCTTCACTGTAATTTTTACTAAAATTTAGAAGAAACTAAGACAACCAAGCTACCGTATTTTTACTTGGTGCGTTATGAATTTATAAATGGGGGTTTAAATGTTTGTAATGTTGATAAATGAATATAATGCGTTGACTCACTTAAACAATCACTATAATTTCACTAAAATTGACTTTATACACCTTAAATAACACTAGTCTTAAAAGTACTTGGAACTGATTCTGAGAATGACTTGAATTGAACTCAATTGAACACAAGACTTGGCTAGGTCGATTAAAAGGTTTGATTTGAAGTGCGAAATGAATCGGTGAATTGTCACGAGTAGACTGACGTGTTTGGATTTCTGAATGAGTGACTTGCCCTCAGAACAGTGCGGGTGGGAGAAAATTTCTAAAATTTCATTGGTTAAAATAAGTGTGGGAAAATCCTGGAGTTTAAGGAAAGGGATAGCGAAAAGTATAGATAAAAAAAAAGGGAAAGCGCATCTAGGAAGGATGCGCTCTCGGTACGCCTTGAGTGTCGCGCACGTGTTGACCACTGGTGCCGTCCGGTGACCAGAGAGCGGGTAAAATAGAGTAATAAAGTTTGGGGATTTTAGAATTGAGTATTTCAACTCTATGTAAAAGAAAAAGTTATTGTCTAAAATTTTCCCCAGTACGTGATTTCCGTGAAACCCGTCAGATTTGAATTTCTCACGACGGTCACAATATAATTTACAACTAAAATTATGCCTAGCCAAAGTCTGTTTCTTAGTTTTTGAAAGTTGAAAGTGAATGATTTTAAAAGATTTAAAAAATTATTTGACATTCTATTTTTCTTGTTTTCAAAATATAGCAAAAAATAAATAATAAATATGTTGGTACGCAACACGAGTCCAGCACTCTAACCGCACGGCCACTACCGTCGGTTAACAACTCGATATATTAGGTGTCTCAACTGTAGCGTCACTACTTGATTCGTCATCAGCGTCGAGGTGTGAAGTGCTGTCATCGCTTTTTGGCTTTTTGGCTGGAGGATGGGCATTCATCTTCTCATCTAGTTGGCTGTGGTTCCTCTTCTTTAGTCCGTCCTTGTACGTGGATAGCAGCCTTTGAGCAGATTCTTTTTTTGAGTTCTGTTGAGCGGTTTTCTCGGCTTTCTGTAGGAACTAGTCAAAAATAGTATTTTTCCGGGCTGGTGGGATGGGGTTTTTTACTCACGTGGCATTGGCGTCCGAGCCGAAGGCGAGGACTAGCCAATCACACGAGTAAAAAATCCCCATGCCAGCAGCCCGGGACAAGATTTTTCTGTAGTGATTTTCAAGTTTTCGAGTTTGGGAAGTATGTAATGCCAATTTCCAGACGAGAAATCGTGAGAAGCAGTACAGAAAACATAATTAAAAAGCACTACTCATTTTTTGATTGTGAATAATTTTTCAATAATCAACATATCGAAGTCATCACAGATCGGGGTAAAATGAAATAGAACCAAAAATATATCAGGCAACAAAAAAACGGAATGGAAGAGTAATATTGCAACTATGTATCTTCAAGCCAGCCACTGTTAAATCAAATAGAAGAATTTCGAACAAGTTCAAAAGATCAAGAATTGCAAAAACGTAGAACTGAACAACTGGAAAACCAAAACACCGTGACGAAAAATGTCAAAAGTAACCAAATAAAATGTGAAAATTCACGATAACAAAAAACATTGAAAATTACAAAAAATTCTGACTTTAAACGTAAACAAATGAAATATTGACAATGAAAAGGAAAGAGTTGAATAGTGAAAAAGTTGAAAACCCCCTACGAAAAACTAAAAAACAGAAAAATTGAAAATTAAAAACCCCAGACGAAAAACTAGAGCAGAAAAATTACCAATTAAAAATCTTTGACGAAAAATTTGACTAGTTGAAGTTGAAAAGAAAGGAAATAGAATCTCAAATTTGGAAATTGAAGAATTTTACAAGAACTGAAAATTCTTTCTTGTCACAGAAGCAACACCCGAAAAATGTCGGGGGACGCATGGAGTTACAAAAATTTCGGTATCCCCCCGAAATTTTTCTGGTGTTGCTTTTGTGACAAAAAAGAATTTTCAGTTTTTGTAAAATTCATCAATTTCCAAATTTGAGATTTTATTTCCTTTCTTTTCAACTATTCAACTAGTCAACTTTTTCGTCAAGGATTTTTTATTTGTAATTTTTCTGCTCTTTAGCTCTTCATCGAGGGTTTTTAAGTTTCAATTTTTCGGCTTTTTAGTTTTTTTGTTGAGGGTTTTTAATTTTTAATTTTCCTGTTTTGGCTTTTCATTTTTTTATTTTTCTAGTTTTTTAATAGGAAATAAATTTTTAGTGGAAAGTTGCAATTTGTCAGTTTTTTAGTTTCACAATGATTTTTTTTTCATTTTTTAATTTTGAAAATTCAAAATTTGCAATTCAGAATGTTTGCATTTTTGTATTTTTGGATTTTCAAATTGTGGGATTTTTGGAATTTAAGATTTTTAGATTCAAAATTTTTTAGATTTTAAGATTTTTACATTTTTACATTTTTAGTTTTGTAGTATTTTAGATTTTTAAATTTTTAGATTTTTAGATTTTTAGATTTTTAGACTCGGTTGCACCAACTACTTGTAACCGAACCGTCAGTTAAGAAAAAATTTGGATTTAAATGTTCAATGCATTAATTTTACCAGACGAGTAACGCCCAAAATTGCTACGAAAAAAAATCGAGTGTCTTGTATTAACTATCTTTGATACAAATGGCGCGAAAAACAAATAAAAATTTTCAATAGAATTTGATAGCTAAAGAATTGGGTATGAATTGTTTTCATTCGCGCAAATCATTTTTGTTCATGTGTTTTTGTGTGAGAAATAGGGTAATGAATAAGAAAACATGTAGGTTGGCGTCGGGGGTAGAAATACAAATTGAAATAGGTAATTATAGATGGAAAACCGTCAGACGGACGTTCGGCATTCACGCGTGCGTCTAAATGACGTCCAATTAACTCGCCTCAAGTCTGGCGGACGTTTCGACGTCCAAACGTGAGTTCAAAAGATGCCTACTTGATTGGCCTAAAGTCTGGTGGACGTTTTGACGTCCAGACCTCAGGTTGAATGTCCAATTCATTGACTTTAAGTCTGGCAGACGTTCCTGCGTCCAGGCTTGGGTCTCAATAGCGTTTGATCGAATGGTATGAAGTCTACGGGAAGGACAAAGCTATTATACTTACTCGAGAATCGTTTGCTATTGCCTTCTCCTTTCGAAGAGTGAACTTCTTAAACAGCTCGTGATGGGGCTCAGACGACCGTCTCATCGGTACTCTGAGAGTTGTTGTCTCAACTTTTGCATTCAAGTCCTTGTGTGTTCCTAAATAATGTGTTAAGGCATTTAAATTTGGGCTATTCGTGTTCGTTAGTCAAAAGTCAAGGAACTTCATCGTGGAATATTTATATGAGAAATGCAAATTCAGGACCAATGCAAACATTCACATCATCCGGCAATTTTTTCTTCTACATTAGCTTAACTCTTATTTGAACCCAGTGCACTTTTAAGACGAATAACGTTCATGATAATTACCTGCCATAGTGAGAATATAAACGTAAACCATATAATCATCATCCTTATATCCATAAACTTTTTTCGCTTCGAAATCAGCTTCATCTTTCGGTTTAAATTTCTTGTAGCACAGATCGTCGATCTCGAAAAGATCGCAAGTCTCAATTGCTCGGCGAGTAGACTTTGTTAAGTCCTTGCAAAAGGTCCACATGGTGGAGTTTTGGCTGATGAGTCACTCAAAGTTTTTCACAGTAACACGAGAGATTTTATCACCGATGAAATACGGTTCGTTTCACCGATTAATAACATTGATCCTGACTGTATAAACAGAACGGTCAGACACCTGTAGAAACTGGTCTCGACTGGTACATGCCACGGCGTAGTAATGTTCCCTCCAAAAGTAAGACGCGAGAATCTCGAAGAAGAGGGCGCCACTTAGACAAACTATATCCACGTGTGGTGAATAGAATATCTCTGGCGCATTCACAATTCTGTCTTTGCGACTGCCGGGAATTGTATATATGCTCTACGTTTTGTGCGATTTCAGTGCGTTATAATCGTAAAGGATTACAGGAGATAAATTCTAATTAATATTATGGCGCCTCCAAAAGTTCCATCAAAATCAACTATTTATAGGAATAGAAAATTGAAGGAGAAATACAACACAATTAATAGAGGACAAGGTTTTGTAAGGATTCGAAACATTCGACAACGGCGGCAGGTAAGGTTAAGTTGAAGATAACTCTGCTTTTACAATTAAGACGTTAACTGCAATATTTCAAAAGAAAAATTGGAATTCCCATGGATTAATTACAGTTGTCGCCCACGACGACCAACTGTTCTGATGAACCAGATGGGACACCTGATTCAGCCTCACTGGATGATGCTGCTGGAACATCCTACGAGAGCTCTACGGACACACGCAGTGAGATACATTTTTATATCCCTATTGGATGTCATCAACATATCGTCCCGATTGATTCGTATATAATTTTAATTTCATCCTCAAAGTCCGGATGCATACAGTGATGAATTTTCGAAATAAAACATTTGAAAATGCGAATATTGATAATTACACGTATGAAAAAATTCAATAGAATTTTTTAGCGAATTCGCAAGAAAATTCTCTTCAAATTCTATAGGAATTCTATGGAGTTTCTATAGGATTTCTATTGGAATTCTACAGAAAAATTCTGTTCGTTTTTTGCGCTGATTCTATTAGATATTCAAAAGGGAAAATTCAATAGATTTTGAATTTCTATTAGAATTTTTCTACTGAAATGTTTCTATTAGAATTATTTTTCAAAAAAAATTCCAAGTTTTTTTCGGTGGATTCTCTAATGCGAAAGAAAACCGAATCCGGCGGAAAAAACTTCGAAATTTTTTTGAAAAATAATTCTCGCAGAAAAATTTCAGTAGAAAAATTCTAACAGAAATTCAAAATCTATTGAATTTTGCCTTTAGAATATCTACTAGAATCAGCGCAAAAAACTAACAAAATTTTTCTGTTGAATTCCAATAGAAACTCCTATGGAATTCCAATAGAAACTCGTATGTAATTCCTATAGAATCTCATATGGAATTCCTATAGAAACTCCATAGAATTCCTATAGAATTTGAATAGAATTTTCTAGCGAATTCCATTGAATTATTTCATACGTGTACCTCATGTTCCATACTCTTCGTGTTCTTTCATCAACCCAGGTGGGATTGTGATAACACAGTCCGACAAAATTTCGATCGCCGCGGTCACAGAGACGAAACTACACCCATTAGAAAGATTTTTGTCTGCTGATTCTGAATCCGTCAATGAAAATCCTCTACACTGATAGAAAGGTTTACTTCCACCAAACGAGGCTCTTTAATTATTACCACGATTCGTTAATAGTTAATGAATCGCGGTGACAGTTAAGAAGGCTCGTTTAGTGCAACTATTATACTATAGTGATTTTGTTATTGCATTTAGCAATCAATGGTCTTTGGTCATTTTGGGAACTTTAACATTGTTTTTCTCTGAAACGAGAAGGCCTAGAGGATTTTTATTGACGGATTCGGAATCAGCAGACAAAAATCTTTCTAAGGGGGATACTTTCGTCTGTGTGATCGCTGGGGTCGAAATTTTGTCGGACTGCGTATGTATTTAGACATACTAAGCAAAATGTCCTGATTTATAATCTTGAAATTTCAAGATTTTTCTTCTCAATTTGGTAATTTTGGTTTGAGTCCTTCATGAATTAGTTATTAAACAACGTTCTTTCTGCAGTCCAAAAATATGTAAAATGCTGAAGTGAAAAATTGTCAGAAGTATAATGAACATTATCAGGGAATATTCTGAAGGCTTGAAAACTTCGGAGATAGGGAGCGAAACATTAAATATATCAAGGATACCACTTTACCCCAGGGCTATTTTTCGGTCAAACCTTTAGATGTTTTTAAGGCATAAATTACATTGAAAGCGGAATTGGCAACGCACCAGTCCGGCAAACTGGAGATGTAGGATCATACCCTACCTGGGATCAAATCCCGCGGGTCTCCAAATTTTTTAATTTGTGCATTGATAATTATCTAATTGATTCCCTCGTACAGAGGTTCAGAAAGCTGATGGATAGCATATAGCATCCCGCTTTCAATGGAATTTATGCCTTAAAAACATCTAAAGGTTTGACCGAAAAATAGCCCTGGGGTAAAGTAGAATTTTAAATTAACGGTCGAAAACTCTTTAATATAAAATATCAAGGATACAGCCGATTAGAATTTTGTAGATTTTAACCCGTTGTAACTCCTTTTGACCCTTCATTATATTTTCTTCGACTACATATTTGAGTATCAATTGGAAAAAATATCATTGATTCCTTCCTTGATTTTAGAATATAATGGAGAACAAGCCAACTGTAGCGATCCTGTCAATAATGGTCGGGGTAGATTAGCAAGAACTCCAACTGAGAGAATTCGCTCTGATACTGACCACAATGAAGTGGACTTGCAAAATATTTGTGATGATGCTGACGATATGATCCAGGTTAGAAGTATAATATTTCAAGCCTGGAAAATTCCAGTAAAACAGCGACCTATAGTGAATGACAATATGATGGAAGGACTTATGGAAATGCCAAATCCATCAAACAATTTCAAATTCTCACACGATTTTATGTTGGAATTTGAATCCTCTGTACAGCAAACGACGTTGAAATTTAAAAATCACAAGGGCTTCGATTTACTACCGATGAGTTTATTACGTCACTCTCAATGTTACAAAATGAAAAGAAAGTAGTTCTTAATTTTTTTTCATCAATAGGAACTTCAAAGGTGTCTTCTGATGATACAATTTTTAATCGATTGACTGCAATTTTAGTTTACACATACAGAGTATGTGCAAGGATTTCTCAAAGAAATGGTAATTTTTCGTGTATCCTTTGTTTTTAGGAGGGAAAAATCGACCAGACAGTTTCAATTGCAAATTTTTGGTCGTACCCCACCGTTGGAAAAAAAAATAAATTTCCATTGAAAAGTTCAGAAAAGTCCCGAACTCAAACGTATTTGAGTTTTTGGTGCTCTAATAAATTGACTCTCATATATTATGTATGTGTCAACCCAAATTTGTGTCAATTGATTCAGAATTGCACCATGAAAACCGTTTTCAGAATTTCTCTGCTCTAGATCCCTTTTCTGATCAACAAGAAGAAAATTGTTTTTATTTACATTAAAACCTGAAGTAGCAAACTTATGAGCACGATCGATGAAGGTACCTGCGGATTCGTGCACACGTTCAGAACGGCTGAGACGTCCTGCACACGTTCAGCCGTCCACATTCGCGTCTTCAAACTTAGTAGAAATCACATCAGCCAGGTGTGATTCTTGATTCAAAATTGCAGTCCTAGATATTTTTCACCCATAATCACGGTTTTACATTTTTTCCTAATTTTTTTGCATTTTTTGTGCTTATTTTCAAGTGACAAAGAATGCTGCATATTCCATTACAATAACAATATCGAATTTTTTAATGTATATATTGTGTGTAGGATTCACCCCGAAGTTCTGTGGGCCTGACCTGTAATGACATTTGGCCGAACCAGAGTAATTCTGACAAAGACAAATCCGTTAACGAGGTAGGTTCCTTCTTTCTCAACTCTGAAATAACGAAAGTCATACGCTTAATTTCATGATGTTCATAATATGATTTTCATTAGGTCGACACAGCTGCCTTCGAGAATGATCACCCCAGGCAGGTGGCTCAATCTCCTCGAAATTCTTCAAACGAAGATCGTCATGATTCAAATAATGAATTTGAAGGTGGATTGCACGCAGGCCCTCACCGCGGTCGAAATGACCCATCAAGTGACCATTCCACACATAATAATAATGGGGATGATTCCAACGAGGATCCTCATTGTGATTCGGATGATGAAGACGAGTATGGACCCTATGGGGACCCTGGTGATGATCCACATGACTCGTCTAATGATAATTCTTTTTCTTCGGATACATCTTCAAGCGATGGTGACTTGAATTTGGATTCGGAGACCTTGAATTCAATTTTGCGGTTTTGTCGAGAGCACACAGCCAGGGAAGCATTGTTGTTAATCTTGGCTTTGGGTATTCATCATAATGAACCTTATGTAGCAACTATTGGGGTAATGCCATGAATGTTTTGCTTGGGAAAAAGTTTTTGCCAGACACAAAATATGCTCTTTGGAAGGCAATCAACAAAAAAGCATCGAAAATTCATTTCAGAGCGTATTGTCCTAAAAAACGATGTGGCCTATATCTTGGGAAACACTTCAAAGAGAACGATAGGTGTCCTTGTGGATGGGTGATTGAAAAAAAAGAAGTGAAATATTTCATCACTCTGAATCTGAAAAAAGAATTTTCCCAATTCCTCAATTCTCCAGATGCCAGGCAATCACTATACTATGAAAGAAGGAGACATAAACAGTGGGATAAAGGTATCGAGGATCTCTTCGACGGAAAAGAATATCAAAGATTGAGAGAAGAAGGCATTATAACAGAGGAGGATTTTGTATATATTTTCAATACCGATGGATTCAAATTGGGAAAGTCAAAGACTAGTGCCTGGCCTCTGTTTATTCGACTACCTGGGTTGCCTCCCAATATTAGACAAAAACATATGTTCTTGGCAGCAATTTGGATAGATCAGCATGAACCAAATATGGCAACCTTCTTTGAGCATTTTGTACGTGATGCCAATGAGTTGTCCTCCGATGGACTGTTATGGAAACCCGACGGAGTCAACGAGATTCGAAGTCGATTCATACCAGTCTGTTGTTTAGCTGATAGTCCTGTACGCAGTGCCCTTTTGAATATGAATCGATTTAACGGGTATTTTGGGTGTACTTTTTGTGACCATGTTGGTATTTGGGAAGGGGGAAGCATGAAATATCCAGTTCGAGAACATCCGGATATACCAGAACCCATTTTGAGGACGCACGAGAGTATTATTGAGGATATATTTGAAAGTCATCGTCAGCAGAGAGTCGTTCGAGGCGTTCATGGACCTAATCCGCTCATGAATTTGAACCACTTCGATTTAGCACGAGGAATGATTGTAGGCGACGTACATGCTGTGTTTCTTGGCGCTGCCGAGTTTCACACCGAATTACTCTGGAGTCAAGTTGAACAATTGTACTACTTGGATGCTACGAGCAAAAGAATCATCAATCAACGCATGCAAGATATTAAAACACCCAGAGATATCAGTAGAAAACCACGAAGCCTTGATGAGAGAGGTCTCTGGAAGGCCTCTGAATGGCGTAACTGGCTTTTTTACTACGCCCCAGTATGTGTCCACGTTTACTGCCACAAAAATATATTGATCATTTGGAATTGTTGGCAAATGGTATATTTTTTATTTCCAGTGAAGTCGTTATGCCGGACGATTTATGCAAAGCTGAATCTTGCCTGAAGAAATACGTTCAATTATTTGAAGACTATTTTGGTATCGAAAATATGAGGTAGAATATTCACCTTCTCCTGCACATTGTTGATAGCGTTAGAAATTGGGGACCTCTGTGGGTATATAGTACAGCTGGATTTGAATCATGGAACAATAAATTACTGAATACTGTTACCTCACCCAAAGGATCAAGTCATCAGATCGTCACCAGATATCACATTAAAAAATTCGTTCACAACATGGTCGGGGATGATAGAATCGCGGCATCAGTCAAAGACGAGCTTAATGATATCCTATTCAAAACTCCGCTGAACGCTATGAAAGTTAATAATGCGTATGGAATTGGCAGTAGTGTAACAACTCACCCCACAGGCCAAGAACGCATTTTCATGCAAGAAAATGGCATTCGTAGCGAACAGATGAAAGTGTTTACAAAAATATTGATCAACGGATCTGAATTTCGAGCTGAAGAGAGGGGGAGTTGTCAATCTGATAACCGCATCCTAATCACACGCAATAACGATTTCTTCCTCATTCGGAAAATTGCGACATTTGACGACCCCGCAATTTGCGGTTTATTCGGTATTATTTTGGGCGTTAATAATACACTCGTGAACGCTAAATATATCTCTAATTTGAATGCCAAGTATGACGAAGAGTCTTTCATTACATCCAATGACATCAAGAGTCCAGCGATGATAATATCTTTGCTGAATAATTCCATTGCAGTACCGATTTCGAATCGATTCGAAATAGATTAACGAAGCCCATTTTTTTTTGTATACAAGTATTTTGTATTGTAATAAATTTTCTATTATTTTTTATTGTAATGAACTCCCTCCAGCACAATGTTTATGCCATTAATTACAAGTAAGTCTCATCCCTCACCAAGAGCGACTCGGAAATGTTAAATAATCAGTGGCTGTTGGTCTATGAGGAACCTCTCCAGAACCACCAATGGTCTGCCTTGAGAATAGGACCGATGTGATTAAGTCCACTAGACCCTTGACGGGTTCACGCATCGTCGATATCTCGTGGATGTCCCGCGGTCTGTGACTTGTATAAAAATTGTGAGTGAACTCGTGTTCCTCGGATAGAACTCGGACCCCATCGATAACCTCTACTGAACCCTCTATTGACCCATTGATGTACTGTACTAAATCATTTATCGACCTCCTCTCGGGGTTTTCTGGACGTCCTATAATCTGTGACTAGTATGAAAACTGCAGATCACCTTCTGTCCGTTGGACCGGAATAGGACCTCATCGATCTCTTTCAGTAGAGCCTTTATAGACCATCTGTCAAGCTGGTTTAAACGTCCGATGGTCTTTAACTTGCAAGAAACCTTTAGTTCAACTTCCGCCCATTGAACCGACACGAGATCTCATCGATAACGCCCACTGAAACCTTCATTGATCCTCCGTCGAGGTCGTTCAGGCATCCACTGGTTTGTAGCTTGTTTAAATCTGTAGGTCACCTTCTATCCGTAAAACCAGAACAGGACTTGATCGATAGTGACTACTGGATGCTTTATTGACCCCTTTCATACGTCCACAAAACCTTATATTGACCCATCGAGGATGATTCGAGGACTCCAATGCTCTGTGACGTAATAGAAAACCGTAGGTCATTTTATGTCTGTTTGGCCAGAATAGGACCACCTTGGTTACATCAATTAAACTCACTATTGACTAATTGTGGACGTGTCTCGGACGCCAACACTGTTGAGTCTATCGGACGAATTTTGCACGCTGTTCATTAGGTCCACTGGACAAACTATCGACTCATTGCTGACGTCTCGCGGACGAAAAAACTCTCTAATCCATCGGACGCATTTCGGACGCCGTTCATAGGGTTCACTTGACTCAGTATTGACTCATTATGGACGTCTCTGGAACGAAACAAATGTCCAGTCCATCGGAGGTATTTTGGACGCCGTTCAGAAGGTCCACTAAACTCAGTATTGACTCATTATGGACGTCTCTGGAACGAAACAAATGTCCAGTCCATCGGACGTATTTTGGACGCCGTTCAGAAGGTCCACTAGACTCAGTATTGACTCTTTGTAGACGTCTCTAGAACGGAAAAAATGTTCAGTCCATCGGACGTATTTTGGACGCCGTTCAGAAGGTCCACTAGACTCAGTACTGACTAATTGTAGACGTCTCTGGAATGAAAAAAATATCCAGTCCATCGGACGTATTTTGAACGCCGTTCAGAAGGTCCACTAGACTCAGTACTGACTCATTGTAGACGTCACTGGAATGAAAAAAATGTCCAGTCCGTCGGACGTATTTTAGACGCCGTTCAGAGGGTCCACCGGACTCAGTACTGACTCATTGTGGACGTCTCTGGAACGAAAAAAATGTCCAGTCCATCGGACGTATTTTGAACGCCGTTCAGAAGGTCCACTAGACTCAGTACTGACTCATTGTAGACGTCACTGGAATGAAAAAAATGTCCAGTCCGTCGGACGTATTTTAGACGCCGTTCAGAGGGTCCACCGGACTCAGTACTGACTCATTGTGGACGTCTCTGGAACGAAAAAAATGTCCAGTCCATCGGACGTATTTTGAACGCCGTTCAGAAGGTCCACTAGACTCAGTACTGACTCATTGTAGACGTCACTGGAATGAAAAAAATGTCCAGTCCGTCGGACGTATTTTAGACGCCGTTCAGAGGGTCCACCGGACTCAGTACTGACTCATTGTGGACGTCTCTGGAACGAAAAAAATGTCCAGTCCATCGGACGTATTTTGGACGCCGTTCAGAAGGTCCACTAGACTCAGTACTGACTCATTGTAGACGTCACTGGAATGAAAAAAATGTCCAGTCCGTCGGACGTATTTTAGACGCCGTTCAGAGGGTCCACCGGACTCAGTACTGACTCATTGTGGACGACTCTAGAAGGAAAAAAATGTCCAGTCCATCGTACGTATTTTGGACGCCGTTCAAAAGGTCCACTAGACTCAGTACTGACTCATTGTGGACGACTCTGGAACGAAAAAAATGTCCAGTCCATCGGACGTATTTTGGACGCCGTTCAGAAGGTCCACCGGACTCAGTACTGACTCATTGTGGACGTCTCTGGAACGAAAAAAATGTCCAGTCCATCGAACGTATTTTGGACGCCGTTGAGAAGGTCCACTGGACTCAGTACTGACTCATTGTAGACGTCTCTAGAACGAAAAAAATGTTCAGTCCATCGGACGTATTTTGGACGCCGTTCAGAAGGTCCACCGGACTCAGTACTGACTCATTGTGGACGTCTCTGGAACGAAAAAAATGTCCAGTCCATCGAACGTATTTTGGACGCCGTTGAGAAGGTCCACTGGACTCAGTACTGACTCATTGTAGACGTCTCTAGAACGAAAAAAATGTTCAGTCCATCGGACGTATTTTGGACGCCGTTCAGAAGGTCCACCGGACTCAGTACTGACTCATTGTGGACGTCTCTGGAACGAAAAAAATGTCCAGTCCATCGGACGTCTTTTGGACGCCGTTCAGAAGGTCCATCAGACTCAGTATTGACTGATTGTAGACGTCTCTATAACGGAAAAAATGTTCAGTCCATCGGACGTATTTTGGACGCCGTTCAGAAGGTTCACCAGACTCAGTACTGACTCATTGTGGACGTCTCTGGAACGAAAAAAATGTCCAGTCTATCGAACGTATTTTGGACGCCGTTGAGAAGGTCCACTGGACTCAGTACTGACTCATTGTAGACGTCTC